ACAGCCCCGGGAGAAGCATTTTTCTCAATGTACGACTTTTCATTGTTTTTGCGCCTTCGAGCGAGCATGCAATCAGCTCGGTCGGTGGTTCGCAATGTCTATCGGTCTTCCATCGAACCGTATGTGTCTCTCTCTCTCTCTCCCTCTCTCTCTCTCTCTCTCTCTCTCTCTCTCTCTCTCTCTCTCTCTCCGTGTCAGATGGCGGCGGACAAATCGGATGGTGCGTGGAACGGTGGAGAAAAAGTATGTAATTAGACGCCTACGGGCGAAATGAATTCTTTCCGGGCGAAACGATTAATTCGACCGAGTGGGGAGGATGAGTGGGAGGAGGGCCACGCTCATTTGTCGCCTATGCTAGAGATAGAAATAGAGGTAGAGAGAGAGAGAGAGAGAGAGAGAGAGAGAGAGAGAGAGAGAGAGAGAGAGACTTTTTCTCTATTTTACACGCGCGTCTCTTTTTCCACATACACGCTCCTTTCTCGCGCGATCCGCAGCGAGTCGTCGCGATGCGACGACCGCCCCTGTAATTTCGCGCGCAGCGAATTTCTATTCATTCCGTATGAATATTATATAACAAAAACACTCCGGAATTTCCCCGTTTATTCGCGCGCGCACACAACCTCTCTAAATATATATATATCTATCGTTATTAATATATCCATAATACCATTGCCCGTTGCCGAGCTCGTTTCCCGTAAACAGCTTCTCGCGAGCCGAGAATTTAATCCGTTCGATCTCCGCGAGAACGCTCATTCGCCGATATATATTTTCGCGCCCTCTCCCGCAGTTTCCCCGATTCTCGTGGCGGCGTTTTACGGCGTCTCAGCGGCCGCCCGCGCGCGCGCGCGCCTTGGCCGAGCGAATCGCAGAGTTCATCGCTGGCAGGTCGAATCGACCGTATTTATTCAGCAGCCGCGCGGCCGCTCCGAGAGAGAGAGAGAGAGAGAGAGAGAGAGAGAGAGAGAGAGAGAGAGAGAGAGAGAGAGAGAGAGAGAGAGAGAGAGAGAGAGATAAGGCTCTTTTCTTGATCCAGCCACGGTCAGCACGAGGTAGATAGATAGGTGGGTAGGTGGATGGGTGGCCAAGCAGATAGCTAGGTAGGTAGGTAGGTAAGTAGGTGGATGGGTCTCGATCTCCTGCCGTGAAATCTTTCTTATCACAGCGAGAGACAGCGATTCGCCCAGGGCGGCTCGTTTGACGCATCGCACCGTAACAGCCGGAAGCGACGCCGCTATCCGATAAATCATGTTTCTTAAGGCGTGCTATGCCGCCTGTCTTTGATCCTCGCGATGCATAATTCGTGGCAGCAGCAGCGCGCACATTCAGCCGGTAACGGTCTGTTATTTCCTGTGCGCTTCGCTCACCCCTCTTGGCCTACCCTGCCTCTTCGCATTACCACGGAGGGTGCGCGTCGGCGACGGTGACGTTTGCGCCGGCGAAGACGTGTAGCGGCCGGAAGGAGCTCATTGTTGGACCGAGTAGAGGGAGAAGCGGAGAGAGAGAGAGAGAGAGAGAGAGAGAGATAAGAACGAGAACGCGGAGGCCGCGTATTTTAATTTCGCCGCTCCCCCCCCCCCGCCCTTCGTCGCCGCCCGCGCCGGTGTGTGTTTACGGCAAACGCGTACACGGCTGGAGTTCTCGCGCGCGGATTCTCGCGGCGCGGCGCGGCGCGGCGCGGCGCGGCGCGGCGCGGCGAGGCGGCGGGCGGCGCCGAAGGTAATCCGACGGCAATTTCGCCGTTCGTTCGAACGATGATTATTTTCGCTCCCGTTGCTTTCTATACATTTCACGGTGTCGTGACTCGGAGCACCGCCGTCGAATCAAGCGCGAGAGCGGCATCTCTTCTCTCTCTCTCTCTCTCTCTTTCGCTCATTCTTACTCTACCTTCTACCTCGGCACAAGACGAGTTCGCTGGATCTCCGACCGGTCGTAAAAATAAATCCAGGACTCATAATCTGTTTGAGGGGATAGCGCTTTTCGTTCCCATCGCTCGCTCCGAGACGGTGAACGTTCCGTCGGCGCTGCGATGATATCGGAAAGGGGTGCGAGAGCACGAGATGAGAAGGAGGGAGAGGGGGAGGGGGAGAGAGAGAGAGAGAGAGAGAGAGAGAATGGATTTCGCTCAACGTTTTCAGAACTTCGCCGCATTCATCGCTTCTGCCCGGACCCTCCTTTGACGATCCCCCTGAAAGACGACGCTCGCGAACGCTCGTCGAGAGTGGCTCGACGCGCCTCCCCCAGCCGCCGGATGTAGCAGCCGGGGTGATTCCGAAGGCGCGAGCGACGAGCGCTCACGCGATAGTTAAGCGAGCGACGACGTCGTTTCTGTCCCCCGCCCGCTCCCCGCGTCCGCGCCATGGCGCGCGATTAAAATTATTATCGCGGTAATGTGCATAACGGGCGCGAGCGGCGCATAAAAATATGCTTACGCAAACGAGATTTCGCGGCGGCGCGCGCGCATTGGCCCGTCGGCAATAAAACCCGAATGGAATTTACACCGAAATGAGACTTTACGGTGCTGTGAGGGCCACAGAGGAGGAGAGAGACGGAGGGAGGAGGGAGGGATCGCGCGTCTCTCTAACGGTCTAACCGGCGTGCCGGCCTCGCCTCGACCTCGACGCAGCCTCGCTCGCACACACGAGCGCGCGAACGAGAGCCGGACGAGATGGACGAAGGGTGACTCCCCGAGCAGCACTCCCTGGCGGAATACAAAGTTTCATTCCGGCCGGGGCGAAATGAAACGTTACATCGCGCCGCCGCCGTTTTCGCGCGAGTCCTCGTCGTCGCCGGTCCGTCTCTCGCTTTTTCCGCTCCCGCGCGTCGCCTTCTTTCTCGCTTCCGCTTTTTATTTCCAGGCTCGCTCGCCACCCGCTTCTGCCTCCCCCTGCCAGCCCCTCTCGTACTTGCGTCCGTGCGACGGCACCGGCTCAATTGGGGGGCGGGGGTGGGAGGGGGAGGTGTTGCGGAAGAGGCGGGGGAAAAAGGAGCGGCGAGGTTCATTTTCCTAATGCGCGACTGATAGCGCCGGCGAGCGGGACGCATCACTCGCGATGTCGCGGCGTCGATAGTCCCGTTCTTACGCTCGGCGATAACGAACGAAAGCATGCCACGTGTCCATGATGGACGATGGAAATGTTAACGAGGTGCCGCGGCGGGAGAGGGCGCGAGCCGGGGCGACAATGCGGACTTACTCGGAAATGCACGTCGCGGGAGTGCGCGCCGCGCCGAGGTGTCTCATGTTTGAAATGAAAAATCGTCCTTTGCGGAGCGTGCTCGGGTAATTTGTCTCCCCTCCCACTCCTCCTCCCCCTCGCCATTCGCTGTCGCCGCTGTCGGGGCCGCCGATCGGGCGTCCCTCGCGCGATTCAAGTTTCACCGGGATGCGCAACCGGGGTGCACAAGATCAACATCGGACACGGAAACGAATACCCCTCCCCCCTCGCCCCTCTTCCAGGAATTTCCCGCGCCCGGGGGCTCTGGGGGGTCGCGTCTCAGGCGCGATCTCCGGAAGGAGATGGATCGCGTGGTGATTAAAAAAAAAAGAGAGAAATGCGTCGCGAAAGGATCGAGCGACGAGGGCGGGGCGAGGGGGATCTCCGGGCGAAATTGAAATGAAATATTTTCAGCGTGCGCGCGTCCCGCTTTGTCTCTCCAGCTTTGTCAGCGCGACCCCGCGCGAGATTCTCGAATTTCCAGAGACCCGACGACGCGTGGGCTCGGGTCACACGCGCCCTCGACGCCGCTCCGGGAGGGTGGGGGGGGGGGAGGGAGGAGGGGCGGCTTTGTGGCGGAAGAGCGACGCGACATTAACGTCTGAAATCAATATGCACGGAATTAGGGCGCACGCAATTTCATCAGCAATTCCGCTTAAGTCTCGGCAGCGGCCGGGATTTCGCGCAGGGAGAGGAGAGCGGCTACGGGAGGAAAGAGCTCGGGAAATGTGAAGCGGGCGCGTTTCTCGTCCGGCGGGAACAAAGGTCGATGTTGCATTATTATTTCCGGACTGCTGGCGGAAATTCAACTACAAAGCTACAAAGGACACGAGCTGCTCGCTTCCCCCCCCCCCCCGCCCCGCTCTCACCGTCCGACACCGCCGCCCGATCCGTTTTTCGCGTGTTCCATAGAGAACGCTCGCGACTTCGGCCGGCCGCGCCGGCGATTTCTGCGCGCGTGCGGCCGTTTCTCCGAAATTTCAGATAAAATCGCAAGCCACCGCGGCGCGGTGCCGCACTGCGGAGAGACGAGAATACTCGAAGTCCTCCCTGGCCTGGTCGCAATCGATGTGTCTTGCCTTGGCATTAACGAGTAACCGTAACCGCGCTGCGAGCAGACGGCGGGAGCCCTCAATTATTTCGGTATGACAACCGGAGCGTCGAGCCCCTTCATCCCTAAACTGATACATCCCCGGGGGACCCCGGGTTACAGTCTCGCATCGATCGACGCGCCGCGCGAGCGCGCGCGCGCGCGCGCGCCAAGAGAAACGAAATAAAGAATGATTAATACCGGAATAAGAGGAAAAAAAACGGAGCCCGCCACGGCGGAGAAGTCACGGCGACAGGCGAGATATCGCGACCCTCCGCGACGATCTCGAGCCCTCGTCGAGACGAGTTCATCTCTCGCGCTCGTGAATCTCCAGACGAGACGAGACAAGACGAGACGAGACGAGGCCGATCGTATCATCCAGCGCACGCGGAGCGATTCGATCTCTATTAACTAACAAAAAAGTTCCCACTGCTCGCCGGTGACTCGCACACGTGCGACGCTGCGCACGCACATGTCTCTCTCTCTCTCTCTCTCTCTCTCGACGGTGCGTGTACGCACGTGTGTACGCGCCAGCCACCCTCGCCCGCGCGCGCGCGCGTGTGTTCGCCAGATGGACGAGCGCGGCGGGATGCTGCGTCGCGGCGCTCTACGTCCCACAGTGCGGTCGCGCCGCGACCAGGCGCGACGCAGAGGCGAGGAGAGGCGAGGAGAGGCGAGGAGAGGAGAGGAGAGGAGAGGAGAGAAGAGGAGAGGCGAGAGAGCGGAGGGAGGAGGAAAGCTCCGAGTGGAGAACGGAACCGTTCAGTCGCAGCCACGAAGCGGCGCCGTGCGCGACGACGACGACGACGACGTCGACGTCGGATACCCTCGCGCACCGACCGCGCACATTTCTGTCGCTCTTCCGCTTCGTTTACTTCTTCATCTTCTTCTTCTCCATCTCGCTCGTCTTGGTCTTCGCCATCGCTCGGACACGCGTTCGCTCCGTTAAGGGGACGTTGCGGACGTGAGGGCTGCTCGGCGGACAGGCAGGAAGAAAGTGTACATGTGTGTGTGTGTGCGCGCGCGCGCGCGCTCCGCGTGTGAGTGTGTGTGTGTGCCCGGCTAAAATTAAATTTCGATCGGACGTCGTCCACTGGACGTGGGCATTCGGGCTGCTCTCTCCTCCGTCTGTCTCTTTCCTCGCAATTTCGAACATTGATACCCTCCGCGGTGCGGCATCTCGGCCTGGGACGGATCGCCACCGCGGTACGACGTGTGAATTCTTATCGAAGACGCCGAGGTGGACGCCGAGCTGCGTGGGTAGTCATCAACCACGCAGCCACACGTCGCGTGGTGGTCGGGTCTATAATTAACCGCGGAGGACGCGTCTGGAAGAGAAACGAGCTACCGTCGTCTCTCCGCGAGAGACTCAGGCTGCGAGCGACTCTCGGAGTTTCGGGGAGGCAGAGACAGAGAGGGGGAGAGACAGAGAGACAGAGAGAGAGAGAGAGAGAAAGAGAGAAAGGGAGGGAGAGACAAACAGAGAGAACATTCGGTGAATCAGCAGCCACGCGCCGCGAGAAAAAGTGCGTGCGAACCGGGGATGAAGTGCGGTCGTCGGATCGCGGCTTCACCGGCCACTCCGACGAGTCGCAGGAAACGCTAGGAGACGCGCGTCGGCTTCGATCGGCGGATCGACGCGGCGGCGACCGCCGTATGTGTGTGTGTGTGTGTGTGTGTGTACGTGCACGAGGACTCAGAGTCCTTCGGGAAGTAATCTTCGCGAGGTACAGCCGCGTCGAAGCGGGTATCGTAGACGCGAAGCGCGTCCGCAGGAGTAAAGCGCGGTGCGGCGAGTAATGAACTTGCCGGGTCTCGTCGCAGGCAGTCACCGAGGGTGCGAAGACGCGGGGGTGGAACTGCGTGCGTGAGTGCGAGCGCGACTGGCTGTCGCCTCGCTCTGCCGTGAATTTCCGCACGCGCTGGACGAGATCGCGAGATCAGTTCCGCAAGCGGCCGTCCGTCCGTCCGTCCGTCCGTCGCTCCCTGCGCGGAGAGCAGGAATTAGATTTAACCGCGTGACTCATTCGAAAAGGAGCGCGCAGTCTGGTTTCCGGCGAGAAAACACGACGCGTGATCTCGTTGAGGCCGGATCAGCGGGGGCGGCGGCGGCGGCGGAGGGGAGGGGGAGCGAACGTTGTTACATCGGGAAACGGCGAGGAGGCCGACGTTGATCGACCGATCGGCGGCGATCCGAGCGGCACTCGAGGCTGAGCTCTCGAGGGCTACGTGTCGGCATGTCCTGATCCGCGATTAGGACGTGGTTCGATCCAGAATTAACACAGCCACGTGAGTGAGCCCGACGAATGGCGACGCGGGGCCATCAATAGCCTGATAAATGTCATTCGTAACGATCGATCGCCGCCTTTTGCCAGCCGTGACGTAAAGAGAGAGAGAGAGCGCGATTTCGCGACGCGACGCGACGCGACGGCCGCGTAGTCGTCCGCTCGGAAAGTGGACGCTTCGGCACAAGGACGAACGAGGACGCGTTCTCGTCGCGCGGGGCCGCGCGTCCAAGTTCGCGGTCGACGCCGACACGGCGGCGCGGCGACGAGGACATACCCTGACGCGGCTACGCACGCATGGAGGATGAGGAGCGGCGCGTGAGGGAGAGAGGCGGACGCTCCTAAACCGATGAGATGACAGTGCTGTGCGTGCTGTGGGCTACTCTGTCCACCGTGGCCTCGATCCTGGCGTGCTCCGGCTTCTACCTGCCCTACTGGATCCAGGTAAACGAGCGCAGCGGTGCGTGTCCGCTGGCCGACGGCTCTTTGCGTATCTCCGCAACGAGACCGCATTTCGATGCTTCGGATGCTCGGCGCCGAGCGAAGGATTGATTGAACGAACGCGGCGATCCCGCGGCGAGCCGGAACGCGTCCCGTTCGAGGGCAAACGAAATTTCCCGGGGTGAGTTCGGCTCATGCAAGCCGCGAAAGTTCCGCTTCCTTCGCGCGAGAGCAATGCGCGCTCGAATTTCGTGTTCGTCACTCGTGTCACTTGGAGTCTTTTCGAGGGAAGTGGGATTTCTCTGGTCTCCTCTCGCGACGGAATTTGGTTCATGCGCGACGAAAGTTTGGTCGTGGAAAGCGAATTCGGCTCGCGGGAAACGGAAATTCTGCTTGCTTCTCGAGCAAAACGCGCGCGGCGTCGGTCACGTTTATTCGGTCGATCATACGAAGAGAACGGAGCTTCCGCTTCTCGAAGCCGAATCGGATTCGCATGAGCCGCGAGTTCGCAAACGCGAACTTTGGTTCGTTCATCTCTTCGCGCGTTCGCAATTCGAACAATCTCTTTTCGCCGCGTGCGCGTTGAACGTCTGGAAAAAAAAGACCAGCACGCACCGACGTACCGTCGAGTAATTCTCGTGTCTAACGAATCACACACGAAGGGAGAGAAATGTTTGGCCGGATGAAACGGCTTTCCGGTGAGATATGAACGATACAGAAATTCCGCTTGAAGTTGTCGGGATTCAATCTAAGCGATCCAGATTTCCGGTCGACCTCAACCGAATTCACGTAGCTTTAATCGCAATTTCCCGATCGTTCGTATTTCGCTAGAAAATCGGCTCGCTCAACCAAACATTTTTCCCCAGCGCAGCGTCTAATATCCAGCGACGAACTCGCGTTAGCCTTTTATCCCTGCCGGCTGTTCAGAGCCTTCGATATCTGTCTTTTCATTTTTTGACACTTGGATATCTAATATTCGAAGCTGCAGCGAAATGTATGAACGCTAACGTTCGAAACGCCGCGTTTTTTGCGAATTTGTCCTCGACATCTCGTGGACAATTCAGCTCACCTAATCGGGCATAGAAGCGACCTGACGTTGGATCGCTCCTCGGGTATTCCCTTACAAATCATTTTTCAACGCCCCGAGCAGTAGACTGATCTCCCTCTCTCTCTCTCTCTCTCTCTCTCTCTCTCTCGAGTTCGCCTGTTAGAGTTAACAAGTTAGCCGCCGACAATTAATGAAACGAGAGAGAGAGAGAGAGAGAGAGAGAGAGAGAGAGAGAGAGAGAGAGAGAAAGATGCCCGCTCCCGCCTTTCGTTTGTTCGTTCTCATTCGCTCGTATCGCCCGCTCGCTCGCTCGTTCGCTCGTTGTTTGCTTTCTTTCCTGCGCAAATATTAGTGCTCAAATATGTCGCTTATAATCGAATGAATATCTCTATTGCTCGTGAATCACGGATACACCGTATCGCGGCGCTGCGATGTTTGATAGTCATTAACGTGTGACATTAATGGGCCGATAAAGCGGCGTATCGATGAATTCGAGCGATTCGTTGAATCCAGATAGTGCGCAAATAAAATAGCGTTATTGCCGACTGCGCACGACTGAATTAGTCCGGCGTTTCGTGCCGAGCGTGAAGAAGAAGTGCGGGCTCGTTATTTGGCAACACGCAGCCGTCGCTGTTTCTTCGCGAATTGCGCGAAACGACTTGCGCGAAACGACCGATGAGTCTCGATCGACAACGAGTGGCAACTCGGAAAATTATGCTTATCGAGCTCTCATCCAACTTGATCGTCCCGCATACCGCGGGAGGGGGGAGGGGTGACTCTTCTTCCCTACTCGCTTCCCTATTCCCTATGCGGAAACTGGCACGATGTCGTTCTCGCGTACATGCAACTTTGCCGAAAGGTCATTTCGGATTTCGTACGATCATAGTTCGCGCGTTCAGGACTCTCTTTCGTGCGCGTACACGCGCTTTTACGTGCGCGCGCGTATGGCAGATACGAAGAGAGGAAAGTCGTTCGCCGCGCTCGCGCACGGCTTTTCTTATCTTCGAAGGGCGGCCCCGTATCGACGACTTTGACGACTCCAACAATTTCTCAGGCGAGCGCGGAGAGCGATTTAACGGGCGCGCCTCGATAAAACCGAAATTTGCGTGCCCGGTATCGCTGTCGGTTATCTCGCGAGCCTGTACGACGTGTCGGGGAGTATTTCGTGATTGCGATACGAGATACGGCCGAGATACTTTAGGCTCGACAGCGGGCTAGGGACGATCGTGTACATCTCCGCCGACGCATGCAGCGCGTTATTTTTACGTTGTACGTTATTACGTTACACGTACGTGATTTCATTTTAGCGGGGGCTTTAAAAAAAGATATTTCTCGATAATAAATTTTTCAATAACACAGCTTACATTTTTAATACCGTTAAGGTTATTAAAGCGCCTGTAATATTTAAATTAGATATGTATGAATGATTTTATTCACCGAGAGAGAAAGCGTTTAAAAACTGAAAAATATTTATTCGGTGGGAATGTTGAATTGGAAACATATTTATTTACATTGTAATACATATACAATTTTTATACAGAGAGACATCTTTTCAATCAAGAGAAAATGTATATTTTCTCTGAAGCCGTTGCCTTCGGTAAAAATAATTGTTAACCCTATCGAAACAAAAAGTGTTCAGATTTAAGTAGATATGTTGTGTGTTGCTGCTTATCCGATAAATATATATATTTTTTTTAAATACTTTTTTCTTTCAATATGCGCAAGAAGAATATTTATCTCTTTAGATATTGCCTCTCGAGGTCTCTCAGCAACAATTCTCTGTCGAAAATTCCTCCGAAATTCATGCGGCCGTCAAAATGTTCGGATCGTAGCTCGCAAGAAAGCGCGCGTCGTGTAACACTTTCATCGCGTTATTTTTAACTGCCGTCGAGCTTGCGTTCGAGTCTTCGTTCGAGTGGCGGCAGTACATTTATTACTCTCTTTCTCCTTTCACCTAACTCTCGCTCGCTCGAGCCGTTCACAGGAATCGAACGACTAAGACCCGCGGACTCGAATTTCTAGACTTCTCGGGCTCGAGTCTCGTAGCCACGGGCGTGTCGACGAAAGCTTTCCAAGCTGTCCGCTTCCATTAACTCTCGATTCCTGCCGCGTAATTAAGCGTAATCCGATTAAACGTGTATCGATGCATTTCGAATGAGTCAGCGAGGAATCGGAGATGCACCAGGTGCACTCCCTTCTACAAACTGAGAATTAACGAATTTTTGTTGGGAAGTTTCACCGCGGAACAGAGACTGCAGGCTCGAGGTACGGTCGTAACGTAACCCCGAGATACGGTTGCCTCTGCGCTCACGTACCTGTGTGCGCTATTTACGTTTCATTTTCGCATTGGTTTGTTCGTGCGGCCGATGTAAAATGGGATACCTAGGCGGAGTCCACGATGCAGGGAGCGAAGCAGCGCGGCTGCAAAGGGACTCTATTAAACTGGCATTCCAACACAGGAAATTGATGTAGCAAGTATACCAGAGTCAAGTACTGATTTAGAGTTGCATCAGGATTTTCGTTTTAGCGGTATTTCGAAGAAATTCGTCTTTGGAAAGGAGGAGTAAGTAAATATCGAGCAAATATATATGTACACCATAATTTAACGTTTTCTTTATGCTTTAATAATATTAAATTATAAAGAAATGAATAAAGAAATTATAGAAATAATAAAGGATAATAAAGAGAAGGCATGCTGAAAAAGCGTGCGATCTCTTTTTGCATATTATATTATCCTTATATTAAAAAGTAAAATCACGAAACATAAAAATCTTTGAATTTCTCGCCGGAAATTCCAACCATCTTCTCGCTTATTATCTTTCCCTGGTATCATATTGTAAAGTTGGAAAATCTTTTTTTATTTTATGTTGTACATACATTTTTAAATATTTATTATATTTTATATTATTATATGATTGTGTAATCATTATTATATATACATTATCGTTGTAATTTTGTTAAATTGTAATTGTAATATGTAAAACAGAATCCCAAATTAGAAATAAACATTTATATTTTATATTATATGCGCAGACTTCTTTATTTATTTTCCCTTGTCTCTTGTTATTCCTATGCCCAATTAATAATTCCTTTTTAAATCCACTTTTTTCAATAAAAAATTTCGCACCCATTCCTTATGCATTATATTGTTCTATTACAAATTCATAAAATTAAAAAAATTCTACAATTTTTTCGATTTTCGCATTTTAGTATTCGAAGTTTTGGCGGGAAACTAAAAAATTTGCGTGCCACTTTCTCGGTCATTATATTATCCTGTTACAAAGTCGCATAATTGGAGAAATTCACTTTTCTCGATTTTCGCGTTTTGGTCATCAGGAGAACATAAAATGCGAAGAGGTGTTCCAAGTTTTGGCGGGAGATTAGAAAATCTCCGTTTCTCGATTTTCATATTTTTGTATCAGAAGAATATAATTGACAAAAAGGTAGCACAAAGTGCACAAGGTGCGAAATTAAGATATGGATAATGGGAAAAGACAGAAAAGTTGGTACAAATAAGTAGAAACTTAGTTCAGAACTATCTTTATTGTTATTTGTTTCAATACATTATAATGCAATATTATATATCATACAATGTATAATACAATACATATAACTATAGAATATAACATATTGTACAATATATTACAACATATACAATAATACAATAATATACCATAATAAGATTAAATATAATTATGCAGAAATATCATAATATAATATAATATGATTTAAATTTTAGTATTTAAATTTTATACACAATATCTTTTATACAAGAGATACACTACATTGCTATAATATAATGAGATAAATTATTGAGAACGTTTCTCAGGCATAAATACGTTTGGCTACATTAATTCTGACGGATGCTTTACCTCGGTGCGTTCACGGTATATACATGTCTCCTTTGTCTCGCGCGTAATTGTTAAATTGTAAATGTCGTAATTGTTAAACTAAATTAGCACTTAATTAGCGCTTAATTCTGACGCTCGCATGTCGACTTTCTGTATTTGTATCGGAGGTGCCAATTTACCAGAGGCCAGAGGAGAAAAGTAGTCTGCGAAGAGAACAACTTGGAAATAAGAAAGTGTGAAAAAAGTCGTAGGAGCAAGGGGAGCGGGGAAAACAGCGGAAAACGTGGGAAATCCTATCGAGCTCCATCCGATTCGTCGAGATGGATCGCGGTGTGGCGATAGTAATCGGATTCTCCGTTCTGAACGACGAGTGCAACAACGAAACAGCAATATTACTTTCCTCCGTAAAGAATCGTCTTGATGCCGGATTTTGTTACGTTCATTGTAACTTAATCGGGAAGAGACTCGGCGGAGTCGAGTGAGCGAGCGAAATGAGAGTCGCGTGTTATGGTAAAAGGTACGAGGGGAGGGTGGGGGGGTGAGGGAGACGCAGTCCGCTACGAAGACACCGTTCTCTTTGACAAACGTCTGCATCAATTCTCTTCGTCTGCACGACTCTCTTAGGGATGCGCCGCGTATCCGGACGCGATACGAGACGCGGTATGAAGCGAGATTGCTCCAGGAATCAAAGAGGAGGCTTTGTGGCTTTGCAGCTCTGTCTCAGTGTCGGGCGTTGATAAATTGAAATTAATTGAAACTGCCCAATCAACACGGAGGAGGAAGGCGTCATTACATGTGTTTCTGTCTCAACCGTATTCTTCGATTTACATTATACACTGATTAATATCTTCATCAGTGAATTAAATTATTCACAATATGACACATGTGATGATTGATTAATTTTGATGAATTATTTTAATCAACTAATCAACTCAATCGACTAACATGCCCGCTTCATCATGCTAACACGCCGAGCGGCACGTTGAGTTCACGCGCGTCAAGCAGACTCAAATTCCCGGTGTTGTGTTAACCCCAGATAATCCGCGATACGATTACATCGAGGGAGGTGTGGTTCGGGGGAAATAACGTCGCCCTCTTAGGGTTAATGATATTCAACATTCAGTTCTCTTATCCGCTAAACTTCCACGTACCTAATCAAAAATCACCTGTAATTAAGCGTTAAGCAAAGCTTGTCTCAGCCACAAAAGCAAACGTAGCAAAACTCTCACTCGCGTGGCAGACGTGGCAGTCGCGATGTTAAATAATGACAGTGACAATCACGGTTACTCGACTCGGTCTGACATGCTGCGCGATGACATCGCGTTCACGTCGCCGACAATCCGTGCAATCCGGGCACTCGGATGATGATTTCAATCCCAGTGCAGCGAGCACCGTGCGCCGCTGCGACGAGTGTAACGAAGTCCCTCTCGGCTGGCTGCGACGCGAGGCAAAATTCCGACCCTTGAAACTCACCGAGACGTTCGTTACGCATGCAAGATTCTTGAGCGAGACAAGAATGCTCTGGGCACTGTAACTTGGAAGCGGCAACTTGATGAGGCGAGTATCGTCGACGGGGTAACTTCGTACTTCGCGCGCGCGCGCGCGCGAGCGAGCGAGCGAGCACACTCGCCTACTCGCCTTTGCCCGAGGCTCCGGCGTTGTCGCATATTCAAAGCAGCCTGCAAACGAAGTCCCGGTCGCGGTCAAATTGTTCCCGTATTTCCCGACGTCACGGGGGCGCGCGAGACGCCCTAGAAAAATAAACTTCCGTTTTCCAATTAAACGCCATGGCGCTGCGCCGCGCCGCGCCGCTCCATTTTTGCTCTGAATTCGCGGCTCCGCGGCGACGACGACGACGACGACGACGAGCGCCAATTTCGCGCGACCGACTCCTCGCAAAGCCTTTTCTCCACGCTGCGTGCAGCGTGCAGCAACGCCATATCCTCTCCCTCGTCTTTCGCTCGTCTTTCGCGGACTTTTCAGCGCGCAGGATCGCAGAGATCCCGCGCGCTCCTCCGCGGGAGCTTCTCTTTCGCTCTGCTGTTTAGAATTAATGATGTATCAGCTACCACTCGCGCTACCACTCGCCGATCTCTCCGGAAGAATCTGAGTTTATACAAGGGGAGGCTTGTTGCGAGGTGAGTCTTGTTATCCGAGGCGTTTCATCGATTTAATTAATGGACGGCGCTTCTCTCGCCCTCTTAAAACCAATTACTTCGCCTTACGCGATTTCCGCTGTTAACGTCCCTCGTTGCTCCGGTTGCTCTTAACTTTCTCGAACGTGCGAGCCGAGAATGAACGGTCTCTATGCTCCTCCCCCCCTTCTTCTCTCTCTCTCTCTCTCTCTCTCTTTCTCTCATTCTGTATTATACGATGCGTTTTTCCCTCTGGGTCGCGCAAATCTATGGCAAATACGATTCATACGCTTTAGATATTGTTAAACCGCCAATAACATTCAATAATCGTTAGTTATAATTGTTTGTTCAGCGTAAATTTATTTCCATGCGCGAAACATTTTGTCATTATATTGTAAAACTGAGCGTTGTTGTGCGGAAAGAAAAAAAGAATAAAAAAATGATATAAATCTCTTCGATATTCCGATCTTTCACTTTAATTAAGTGTGCGTGCGTGCGTGCGTGCGTGCGTGCGCGCGCGCGCGCGCGTATACGAAATTTATTTATATAAATACGGATTTATATTTGTCGCCGCGATTTTTCATTTCCCCGAAGCCGAAAAAGCCTATTTGTGAAATCGCGCTGTTTGAATTTCACGTTCAACCGCGATATTTTTATTACGATTTGTTAATACAAAACAAACACGGCGAGAAACAAGCTCGCTCGCTCGCTCGCTCGCTCTCACGCTTGAAAAACGAAGGGGGAGTGGCGAGCCGAACGGAGGGTGGTAGACGGTACTGGGCGAATGACTGTCTCTCCGCCAGACGGTCGCGTTATATTATATTTTCTCCATATTAAGAGGAGCGATCGAAAACATTCAGACGGAACGGCGAGACGTTTTCCGTTTTCTTCGGCGACATCCTGAGAATCTGCTCGTATTGGGTCGTCGAGAGAAAGGCAAAACTAGAGAGAGAGAAAGAGAGAGAGAGAGAGAGAGAGAGAGAGTCCTCCCCGTCGCTTTCGTGTGTCATCGCGTCGCATAAATGAATAGAATGTATAAATGTCTCGTATCTCGCGTTCCGGACATTGTCGCTCGATCGACCGGCAAGGATCTTCGCGGCGGGAAAAGCAGCCGGGCCGTTTTAAAAGCGTGGCGCGTCGCCGCGTTTACCCGCGGTGCGCCAGCCCTCCTCATTCCTTCCTCATTCGCATCTGCCGATTTATTTCCCCCGCGATCGCACGGTAGCTCGCGATACGCCGAAGAAAAAAAGCGCCGTCGGCAAGTTTAGAAGAGGAAGCCGCATGCGGTGCGGAAGTCCCACGTAAATTCCGCGCGCTATTTACGCGAGCGCTTCGGGCTCCCGGGCTCGTGAAATTTTTCATTACGGCAGTTTCAGGCCTCTCTCTCTCTCTCTCTCTCTCTCTCTCTCCTCCCTCGATTTTACCCAAGTTTAAGGTTAACGAGCACACCTTCGAGGCGCGCCAGCTAGGCCTGGCGTTATCGTTAACGGCAGCGAAGCCATCCGTCGCCGCCATAAGCGGCCGGAGGGCCGTTAAAACGCAGCGGCGTAACCGCCGTCTTGTGTGTTGTGTGTTTCAGGGCCGACTGCTGGGTAAGGCGGACGCGTACTTCAGTTCCTTTCGGCGCTGCAACTACCCGCGAATCAGGGCACCCAACGCCACGCCTGAGATAGTTTACGAGTGCGCGAGGTACTCCAGGTACGTAATCCCGCATTAATGTATTCCCGTGCGAAAGCGGCGGACGGCGGGCGGCGGTGTGTCGGCGACTGCGAGAGCGCTTTACGTTCTTTGCCGCGAAGAAGAGCGAAGCGCGGCCGTTTCTCGCGCGCGCGCGCGCGCGCGCGCAAGAAAGAGAGAGAGAGAGAGAGAGAGAGAGAGAGGGTGAGAGCAGATTGCGAGAGATTTTAAGGAACGATCGTTTGCAAATTTGCTCAGTCACTCTCGCGAATTACAAATTTGTGCAGATCGCGTAAAACGAGAGTAATTGCCTCACCGGATTAGCGGGCAGGAGGGTTGGGGGCGCCCTGCCCCTCCCCTTGCCGTCGCGATCCAACGAGCGCGCTTTTAGTTCTCCCGATCAATTGCGTAATTTCGGGGAACGCGCTTCTGCCGGCGGCGGCGGCGGCCGGGATTACGGCCACGCGCGAATTCTCGTCGACGATTATTTTTTATGTTTGCCCCTTAGCGTTTCTTTTAACAGGGGCTCTTCTTTAACTTTAACCGAGCCCGGGCTCGGTAATATTCCTTCAACCCGTGTCAGCCCGACAGCAGTTTCCATCACTTCCTCGAGCCCGGGCTTGGTGAAGAGTTTCCGTGCCATCTCTTCTCTCTCCTGTCCAGTCGCGCTCACAGTTGGCGTGTGTAATAAAAGCCTTACGAGAGACTCGCAAAGCAGCGACTAACCTTTGAAGCGAGTCCCAGACAGAAACAATCGGAGTGCGTCACGTCGCACGCTGTGACGCACGCTGAATCTACAGGGCCGTGTCTGCGTATCGCTTTTATATCGACGCCGGTTGAGAGGAAATATCACGTCGAAGCAATGGACGGGGGGAGGGGGGGGGGATAAAAGGAATCGCGGAAGCGCGCGAGAAAGTTCCCTCGTGGTTCACCGGCGCTTCGCGAATCATGTCGGACGCGTTCTTCGTTGCGCCGGGCTTTAGCTGTTTGACAGATAATAACATATGCACATGCATGTATATGTATGTATGTATGTATGCATACGTAGGCACGTATACATATCATATGCTGACTCGCGATGATTCGATGCGATGGTTCGACTTACGATTTGTCAAGCTTATGATGGTGCGAAAGCGATACGCGTTCCGCAGAGACCGTATTACTTCGAGCTCTGAATTTTGATCCTTCCCCGGTAGCTTGAGAATATTTTTAATGCATTTTCGACTTAATGATATTCTCAACTTACGATAGTTTACCGGGACGTAACTCCATCGAGCTTGCCAGCATTTATAGTGTGTTTGTGTGTACACATATATATATATATATGTGTGTGTATATATATACATATATATATATATATATATATATATATATATAGGGTGTCAAGGGATCTTTTGGAAGCGAAAAATTGTCAAGATTGATGAAATCAAACTGAGAAGAAAAGTCATGTATCACTTACAAAATTTTACAAATTTCACAAAAATTTTACAAAAATCGCAAGAGTTATCAAGTTATTAATGATTGAAAACGGGATCTAGAGGCCCTTCAAATTGATAACTTGAAAAAGTCCTTTACCATTTTGCAAATAAATACGCAAATTTGCGAGTTGTCAATTAAAAGAGCCTCTAGACGTGGTAATTTTCAACCATTAATAACTTTGTAACTCTATTGTGACTTTTGCAAAATGGTACTTGATTTTTCTTCTCAGTTTGATCTGATTAATCCTCACAATTTTTCATTTCCAAAAGAACCCTGTATATGTGTGTGTATATATATATATATATAATTTATACACGACACGTTGCTGATATTATAACGAATCCGTAATCGAGAATCCGAGGCGCGACGGGCGTGGTGGAATATCGCGAAATATCGGCGCTCGAGTTGCAGCGCGCGCAAAGAGTGACGGGAAGATTTTTCGAATGTATTCCGAGCGGAAAGAGGAGGAGGGGAGCGGCGGAGGGAGGGAAGAGGGAAGGCGGCCGGATCTGGACGCGATATTTAAAGTTCGACAATGGACGAGTTAATTTGAGTTCGAAAAACGCGAAACGGAATAATTTCAGTAGCTCGAGTGGCTCGTTCACGTTCGCGTGTCGCGCGGCCGGAATAATTCTGCGCGAACGCTCGCGCGCGCGCGATATCGCTCGCGGACGCTCGCTCGCTCGCTCGCTCGCTCGCCAGCTCGCTCGGGAAAACGGGACACTGCGCTATAAAAACTTTCCTCACGACCCATATATATACACGGGCGCGGCTGCGCTCATAAAAATCGCGGTGCCCCGCGGCATTGAAACTGAAGCACCGTTATTAACAAAGAGAATTACGGAAGAGGGAGGAACCGTGCGCGCGAGCGCATGGACGAATGCTTGCTTCTTTTTCCCCCGTCTACGCGCGTGAAACGCAAAAGAACGAAATTATACGGGAAATGTCGCGAGCTCGTCGAGCGAAATGCGAATGTCGATTCTCCAGCGGCTCCGCTCGCCAACTTTTAACCCGTCCTCGTCTCTCCTCCGTTCCGTTTCGTTCCTTGAAAATATTCTGGCGGCGCTGAATCCGACGCTGTCGATATAAGAATGAAAGTTTGTCGTGTCTGTATGGCCAACATGTCGACACATTTCGAGGCGTAATGCGTTCATTGTAATACGCGACAATGCGAGTGTTACGGGAGGAGAGACAGCGCTCGTACCACGTTTCGGAGTTTTTTGAAGGACGCTCGAGTCGAAGAAGACTCGAACACGGTCAGGAGATTAAAACGGGAGAGAATTTCGCCGAGAGTCAGCCGTAAGCCTCTTTTTTCGAGACTCCCGAGCACTCGCGATGATAATTGGGTCGAGTGTCGGTAGTTGTGCGCGATCGGACGTAGTTCAGCGCGACGGAAGCGTTAAATAAAGTTCTCGCAAGAAGAACCACTCCCGGCTCGTACTTCCGCTCGTACTTTCGTATTTTCGCGACGTCTCGCGAGCGCGCTGTGTCGAACGGTTCAAGTGTTTACGAAGATTGCGCATGTAAACACGCGTCGAGATCAATTCTCGCTGGACGCGGGGACACACACACACACACACACGTGCATGTTCCCGAAAGAAGGAAAATTTATCCACATTTGGAAAAGGCGGGAAGGACGATTTCCTGGAAAATCGCCGGTTGTGCAATTTTTCGCGATTTTTTTTTCTCTCTTGAGAGCGACACACGAGTGTGTGTATCCACCGATAATATCGATACGTTAATACCGGTCAATCAAAGCGGAGAGTGGTTTCTTGTTGTTGCGATATTTGCAATGCGCTAATACGGCAACGGGAATAATAACAATTACCGCAACGACTACGGAGGGAAGCGCGGGATTAATCGGATCAACGCCGGCGCCGCTTCGGGTGCAAAAGGTATTAAGGTATTTGCGAATGACGTGTTTTTCGAACGACGCGCGCGTATCCCATCCGCGGTGAAATGATGCGCGTCGGATTTGCGTGACCCGTGTGGCTCTTGCTCCATGTGCGGCGTTAAAAACGAGAATTGGGTCGTTCCATATCCGAATTACCGGCCGTTATCGGAGTACAACCGCGCCGGAGTTGGCCCGCCACGGAAACACGCGCGGGCCGAACCTCTCGAAAGCAGCTCCCGCTCGAAAGAGCGCACGAGCGCGCAAAGCATCGCGAAAAAAGCAACTCCGATTTCTCGAATTCACCGAGATACGGAACCTTTTGCACTCGAGGAATATTTTCACATTTTCTCCCACAATAATCGACAATCATAGATATAATTCCTGGAGAAACTGCAAAAAAGGATCTTTATTATTTTCTTCAACGTTGTCGTCGCATTTTATCGTTTTACCGCTCTCTGTTTTCAACTTTCTCTTTTCGTGTCAGCACAGCTGGCATTCCGAGTGCAAGAGGTTAATGCGTTTTATCATACTTTTCCCTGTCGATTCTTATTAATCGGCGCAAACGATTGTCGGAAGCGGGCGACATCGACTCGCTACTTTTTCAGACATTTTATTTAACGGAGACTTTCCGGTGTTCCTCCTATATACTCGAACTTCCCGTGAGAATTTGTCAGGATCATGACAAATCTTTTGCACCAACACGGTATCACCTTTTGTTTAACTTTTTATAAAGTCTCCCTTTCCCAACCCCTTTTTCCCGTGCGCTCGTTAATCTACGCATCTGTCCGCCTATCCGTCCGACGTTTCGTGCACGCGCGCGACTTGCAATTCAGCGCGGACGTGTCCGTGGAAATAATTTATCCCCGGTTTGATCTCGCCCGGATCAGCATCGGCCACGCCGTCTTGTCTCTCGAGCTTCGCTCGAGACTTCTCTTGCTAATTGCAACGCGATAAAGCATTGGCCGACTTTCCCGAGCGCGCGCGCGCGCGCGCGCGCGCGCACGCATGTTGACGACGTCGGCAACGTGTGAAATTTCATGGAAATTTCCGCGACAATACGCGCTTTCGCACGTGACCGTGCGCACAATATGATGGGAAACGATAGGAAATGAAGTTAACGCGCGCGCCCGCGCTAGACCGAAATCGTGTCGCCGCGCTTTTCGCAAAGCGCTCGTCAACCGGCCGACGGGCAACCGTCCTCTTCGCGCGCATTCGTTTTCGAATTTCCATTTTCCGCCGGCGATTCTCGAGCTGCTGAGCGGCGCCTTGTCGTCGCAGGAATTTCGGATCTGCCGGAAGCGACCGATCGCGCTTAATTATAACACGACGTGTCGCCGAGATGCGCGACGATGCGTCGACGAAGCGGACGTGAAACACACGCTCCGACGTATTCCTGTCCGCTAAAAGTTTCTCAGCGCGCAACTGACGTGTCTCTCTCTCTCTCTCTCTCTCTCTCTCTCTCCCTCCATCGAAAATATCGCACGACAAAGACACTGGCGTTCTAACAATGACTCATCCGCAGGTTAAATCCGCGGTTGTGCACTCTCTTATGCGAGATTTCACCAGGGCTTCGTTCGCGCGAAAAAACGACCAGGAGAGAGAAGCGCATGTGTGTGTGTGTGTGTGTGTGTCGCGTATGCGCCTCTCTGATTTAATTTCCGCAAATTCGTGCAACGTCGTGCAGCATGCAGGTCGGAGTACCACGGGGTGTCAGTACCATCCGAGCAAGCCGCTCCTCATCTCCTCCTCTTTCATCGCGGTGTACGCGCTCGGCCGAGCGAAGTTTTACTTACTCGTCAAATTTCATTCACCGTCTATTGAATATAACGAAATTGCGTGTGCGCGTCTGCGGTCTCGATGGATTCGCAGAGAAAAGGGAGGAGAGTACAAGCGACATATTTCTCTCAACACGGCATCGCGCAAGATGCTCCACGCGATTTTCCTGCTCTCTTTAGTTGATGCCAGTCGATAACCTCTATGATTTCGAGAGATGAAGGAACGACGATCTGCGACTTATTGCGAATAATTAAGGGCTCTGGGACTACGTATTAAGAACGTGCGAAGGTATTTAATGACAAGAAAAGCCGAAATTGCGAGTCATTTGGGAATAGCATTGTTCGCTTAATTAACCCGCAAGTTTGCTTTTATCTTCGTTCTTTTCGTTATTTTGATTTCTACACGCGGAGGAAAACATGTCCGATTGGATGAACCAATTTTCTGGAATCTGAAATATGAATAACTGAGAAATTATAATTGAAGCTAGGACAATCCTTTTCAAGTTGAAATCTTGACAAGTTCGTCTAAATTCTGATAATTTCGAGCGGAATCTCTTATATTCTATTCTTATATTTTACCCGAAAATTATTTCATTCAATCAAACCTTTCTTTCCGCGTATATGATTTAATAAATAATATTCCTATAATTTTTGCGCTTTAATGCCGACGAATGATGTCGGTAAGAAGTCCTGCGACGGGTCTGCTGTCGTTTTCTCGTGAGTTTCGCCACTCGCTCCGTTTTGAGTCACGGAGAGACATCATTTTCGCATGTCTATTAGCGTATCGAGCGTGCACGCTCGCCGAGATTACACCTGTTTGAGTCTCTCAATAGTCAAAAATAGCGGACATCACGCGACGCGAGCGATCTCCCGATTGGCCCAAGCACGTTGGCCGATAGCGTAATCGTACGTACGCGAAACGTGCTTCTGTGATCCGCCGTAAGCGGATCCGGTGTAAGCGGTAAGTGCTAATAGCGGAGTCACTCACACTCTCTCTCTCTCTCTCTCTCTCTCTCTCTGCCCCTTCTCTTTCTTCCCTCCCCCTCTTCCGCTACAAACCAGCGTGACTCGATAGTTCCTCGATAGATTTGCGCTCACGGTAGGCCCACAGATGTTACCCCTCGACGTGGAGTTACCGTAACTCGGAAAATCATCGACATTGATCGTTTTGCGAAAAACTTTGGGGGAGAGAAGCGAACCATCTCCGGTAAATCGTCGGGAGATAACGTCCGCGATGCTTCGGCAAACACTGCTCTCTCCACGATTGCAACTCGTGCGAGTCGTGTCGAGAGTCGTCCGACACGACTCTTGACACCGTTTCTCGCTGCCATTTCATTACGTTCGGAGGTGTTTCTCCTTTTTCCCGACAATTGTAACAACAATTCGGAATTACCGACGTGAAGGGCGATTGAAATTATTCGACCTAACATCGCTGTCCGAGGCGACGGTTTTAAAAATGCACGAGGGACGAGGAGCGTTTAACTGTGCAGCGCGCCCGTCGCGATTGATATTCCATTTTTTTTTCGCCACGCTCGCCGGCACAGAAGGTCGAAAACTATACAATATTTTACGTCAGGACGCGCGCCGCGAAAAATATTGCGCTCGGTCGTATTTAACGAGTCGAAACTTCGGGAAACTGAAAACAGATAATACGATATTTTATACGTGGGGCGATATCTGCGGTGAAAAATATTTGCATAGAACGAAAAATATTCTGCGTAGTTACGTCCCGCCGCACCGTATCCGTGTCCTGCCGCGCGTCATCCTTTCATTTTACGACACGAAACGATTTTGCGCGGACCGATTCTTTGTTTGGAATATTCACTGAGGGAAAAGTATGTGATATTTGGAACTATAACGATACAGTAACTAAATTATAGTCCGAAATATCATATTTATAGTAAGTATCACCATAGTACCGGTAATAATTGCGATATAGGCATAGTATAACCAACTATATAATATTTTTACTAAGAATTATAGTAAGTTAAACTAAAATGATTGTACGGATACAAATATAAAATGGTAGGTAAAGTAACTCTTTTATATAGTCAATATTACCAGAATATTTGCTATATGATGACAGATACAATGACTATATGAATATTAAATCTCACTATATTTGCGAATGAGAAATTACCATATATGTGGTAAAAGTAACTAAACAATTGTTTAAGACAATCATTGACTATGTATTTGTGTTTATTCTACTATATTTTGCAGGTTTCACGAACTATAAAAGTATGGTTGACGCCAAAATGAACTATAAAATATAGTGAGATTACAGTTAATTCAACGATATTTTTCCATCAGTGTTCAACGCTGCGCTTCACCCGCTCCGGAATTTCCGCCGATGGAATCAAGTCCGCTTGCACTTAATGTGACTGTTTACACAAGAGAGAGAATCGCGCGGCAAAAAGTATACACACCGCCGCGCTTCACGAGTTAACGTTGATTAGAAAGAACGGAGAAGCAAGAAACTGCGCTCATTTTCGCTCGTTTTCACAGCCACGCGATCGAGCCGGACCTTGCTGAATATTATTGATGAAATTTTCATCCGCCATGATTCGCCAGCGCGATCCGACACGATTTCGTTTGAATTTGCGCTTGTAATATCATATCGGCATGTAATTAGGTTAAAAAATGTATCTACTTGTGTATACACACCGCACACACACACACACACACACACACACACACTCGCATGTACGTCCGTTCGTTTTGCTTGAGGCAGCGATCGATGATAAATTCGCACTAATTTCGTTGCAGAGAAATTGCGCACGTTATTATTGATCAACACGGGCGGAACGTGCGCGTATATAATATCATCATTTCACTAAATTAAACGATAAACACGTTGTGAGCGCGCCGATTGAAGTTTCAGCGCCACCACGTTCATCCGTCCTCTACTCTAATGAAACGTTACTTTCTTTTGGCCGAATAGTTGTCCAATTCGGTGTGCATCGTGATCGTATTACGTTAATCGATATTACGTTAAATGCACCGCGATCGCGCGGCGAATATTCGCGATCGCGCGCGCGCGCGCGACGCAATAGTCCTCCGCGTCATCGCCGATGAAGAAAAATACGATCCCTCTCGATTGCCTCTCCGGCCGATCGGAGCGCCGACATAATAATTGCGCTTCAATTAACACAGCGAGCGACTGACAGCGACTAATCGGACTGGTTATTCGTTTCATGGTAGCTTTTGGGACATACCGAGCGCCTGGTGGCAAGCGAGCACGGTCACGATGGGCATCGGCGTCGCCGTCGCGGTGATCGGCGCCCTCACGCTCTTGGCGGCGGCGTCCTCGTTCCTGCCGCACATCCTCAAGACGCCCAAGCACACGAGGATCCTCGGCTCCTTGCAGCTGTTCGCTGGTGAGTGTCGCGGCGCGGCGCGGCGCGGCATACCGCGCGCCGTTATAGTGAATGTCGGGCGGGTACCAAAATTGTGATGGGCTTCGCGCGAGAAAAGCGCACCGACTCTGTCTTCCGATCGATTCGTTCATCGTGCCCCGACTGATCCCTAGAAGTATGTCCTTTTCGACCGATTTTTACACCTACTACGTATTCGCAAGTGCCGCCGTAGAAATTGATCGCGACGTCTTTGAGAGAGCCATCAAAACTTTTGCACTCATCCGAATATCGGCAACTTGAGGCTGAGTCAATGAGCGACGTTCGTGATGATACGCGCCGACGAGCGGTGCCGTCGGCTGTTGATGCGTCATTTAATAACGCCCCGAGAGAGAGAGAGAGAGAGAGAGAGAGAGAGAAATGTTCTCTACGTGTCCCGTTGAAGGAGACGGAGTGTGATTTGGACTCTTTTTATCGAGCGCCGTTAGACTTATGCACCTTTAGAAGTGACAGTCCGTTCGTCCGTCCGTCCGTCAAATTGATGTGAGACGAGGGTAACGGGCCGGTGAGACACCATTTTGCGCCGCGAAATAATGAACTGTCCCCGAATAAAATAGATATCACGGCGACGTCATCCTTCTTCCAGCATTGACGTATTCCATTTACGCGCTTCAAGTTAGTCCGTTGTTCTCGATTTGCTCCTTTCCGCGCGTTCGAGGGAGCGAGCGAGAGAGAGAGAGAGAGAGAGAGAGAGAGAGAGAGCCGCTTTCGAAAAACGACAGAGCTCGCGAGCGGGGCTCCGCGCGACATGATCGATGCGACGAGACGAGACGAGACGAGCGGGAAACTCGAGAATCTCCTCGTAGCGCCGATTCCTCTCGAGAGGACACATTCGACGGCGTTGCCGACGAGGAGACGAGCGGTTCTTGTTGGAAAAAATTAAACGAGGAATCTGCCGCTCCCGTGAAAGACCTCATCGCGAGACGAGCCATTTTCGTGTCGCGAGGATCGCCGAGGGCTGAGGAAGAAACGCTCGTGGCGAGGAAAATAGCGATCGGTAGAAAAGTAGCGATTATTACGAGGTAAATAAGGTGAAAGCGTAGGAACGAAGCCGAGGACGAACGGACGACGGACGACGGTAAAATCGAACAGGATCGCTCGACAGCGCGTGCGATTAACATGCCTCTCTTTTATTCCTCGTTACAGCAGCGATGATATGCGGCGGCCTGGTGATGTACCCGATAGGCTGGGATAATCGGGAGGTGCGCGAGTCCTGCGGGAAAGGGGCCAATGTTTACAATCTCGGTAAGTACCCGGCATCGTCGGCGCGCGGCTTTTCGGTCCTCGCTCTCGTTTCGGACGCGACACAGATACGTCAGGGTGTCGCTGCGCGGCAATGGCGTTGTACGAGCGAATGGAATTGCCGGAACTCAATTCCGCGCGGGAATACGGCCGGGAGTTATCGATCTAATTCGATAACTAATTAACGCTCGACGGACTCGCGCCTTAGTTGCTCGTTTCCTTAGTTTAACGACGTCTTCAGCGAGAAATTGCCGTTCCGATGCGCCGCTGAAGTGCGCCGCGGACGTGTGTCTGGGCGTGATTACTCGTACAGGCGTAACCTCAGCGGCGGCGACGGCGACGACGACGACGACGACGACGACGACGACGATCTGAGGTCGGTAGCGTGGAAGTTTCCGCATTTTCGCGAGCGAGTTCCCGGAGCGTTTTACCGAGCACTCAACGACCTACAGCCATTCCGGGACTTTACGTAAACCAGTCAAGACTTATGGCTCTTGTAACTTCCCGGGGGCGCCGCAATCCGCGTCCTCGGCCCCGCGTCCCCCCAAGACTCCGCTCCGCACGACGTAGTTCCTGATTTCCCCGTAATTTCCCAGCGTGCTCGTAACGATCTGATTCGACATCGGCGATCCGGCGATTTGCCTTTCAATACCCGGGGGATTGTTATTGATTTGCTGCGGATTTACCGCGCGGCTGCGAATGCGTGTCTCGCGCGCGCGCGGAAGTAAGCAAGCCCAACGTCTTCTCTCCCCGATACCGCCTTCGCATCCGGGAAATTTACCGCTCGAATATAACAGAACCCGGACGACGGGGAAATGCTGCCTCGCGCGTCCGACAGGAATTCTCGCGTCTCCGGCTTTCGCTCCGGTCGACGTTCCTCGAGGTTCTCTCGAGCAAGCCGATTTGGAAGCGAGACTTCCGTGGCCGCCGCGGTTTATTTTTCGCGTCCGTGAGAGCGCTGGCAGGTTCGTCGGGTACTCGTCTGAAACGCGCGACTGACAAGCGTCTCCAGGTGAGTGCTGCGGGAATGGACCAGGTTGGCGGTTGAAGCCGACCTTCAAGAACAATGACGCACGAATCGCGCGTTATATTTCAGATATTAGTTTATTAGATATTAGTTTATTGGGTACAGTAGATTAGGAGTACAAATAAGTTTCTCTAAAAAATTAGGAATTTATTGTGAAAGAACGGTACATTACGTTTTATTCCAAGTATTGTCCATCACTAGCCACTACTTTTTCCCATCTTTCTGGCAGCATTCGGATACCACGTCGGAAGAACTCTTCATCTTTTGAGGCTATCCACGAATCGACCCAATTTTTAGTATCTTCATATGATGTAAAGCGCTGCTTAGACAGGCCATGTGCCATCGACCGGAACAAGTGATAATCGGAAGGGGCAATGTCTGGTGAATACGGCGGGTGGGGCGGGACTTCCCAATTAAGTGTTTCCAAATAGGTTTTGACCGGTTTCGCAACATGTGGCCGAGCGTTGTCATGTAGGAGAATAATTTTGTCGTGTCTAGAGTAGTAATGGGCGTGTTTTTCCTTGAGTACTCGGCTCAATCTCGTTAAATGTGTTTGCTAGAGAGCTCCAGTAATGGTTGCTCGGTTTGAGCAACTCGGTTTGAGCAACTCATAATACACGACACCAAGCTGATCCCACCAAATACACAGCATGAGTTTTTTCGATGTCGAAGCATGGCCAGGTGGTCCCCATGATTTTCTCTTCTTTGGGTTATCGTAGCGGATCCATTTTTCATCACCAGTGACTATACGATGCAGAAAACCCTTTCTTTTATGCCTGGCAAGCAGCATTTCACACGTGCAAAATCGGCGTTCAACGTCTCTCGGCTTCAGTTCATATGGAACCCAATTTCCTTGTTTTTGAATCATTCCCAACGATTTTAAACGATGAAATTGCTTGTTGAGTCACTTCTAATATAAGTGCAAGTTCTTCTTGCGTCTGGCACGAATCTTCCTCCAATAATGCTTCCAATTCCGTGTCTTCGTACACTTTCGGCCCTCCACTACGTTCTTTGTCTTCCGCGTCAAACTCACCGTTTTTAAACTTTTCAAACCACTCACGACAACTTCTCTTCACTTAAAGCAGTCTCACCATATGCTTCTACAAGCAATCGATGCGCCTCAGCTGCAGATTTCTTCAAATTAAAGAAGTAAATCAAAAGTTCCGGCAAATGACGCTTGTTCGGCACAAAACTTGACATTTTCGCATGAAAAAAAATTATGTGATGCTGATACGGAGTCACTAATACTTCAAGGTGATGTTGTTACCAGATGTCCAAACTTACGATATTACGTTTTACATCTGACAATTTCAACATAACCTTCTGGTGGGGCCATCTTTTGTCAAGCGGCGGAAACTTATTTGTACTCCTAATATTTCAGCGGGGCGGCGAACGCAGCTCGCGGCTCCGAACGATATTAGTTTATTAGATATAGTAGATAATATATCCTCCGCGTACTTTCTGCCCGCGTGTATGCGCGCATCGAGTTTATTTATATTAATTCTACAAACGCTCTCTCGTTACAACGCGGCACGAGTAACTGCGAGCGAGCAGCGGCACAGATCGATCGCCACTTGTGATTTAACTCGAATTACAATTTTGACACTAATTGCCACTCGCGTGTCACTTTAGCGCTGTGTTGGAACGCGACGACGTTCCCGCACCTTGGGGATTGCTGCCCCCCTCTTCGTCCGACGCGCGCATGTCTCTCGCGTGGTAACGAGTCGAGTCGAAACGTTGATCCTACTTTCGACCTCGAGATTCCGTTTGATGCTGCTTTAAAGCCCCTATCGAGCTATTTTGATTGCATTTAACATTCACAGCGGAAAATGCGTTTTCTGCTTGGAGGCGCTCCAGGTGGGGCTTCGGTTCCTTCGCGTAAATTACAGGTCCGTTCTTTCGGAATCTGTAGACGCCCGGCAGAGTTCCGGTGGAGAATTGGAGCAAAATTTCGACTCGGCTCGTCTGTCCGTCGCACGCTTGACTCTCTCTCTCTTTCTCTCTCTCTCTCTCTCTCTCTCTCTCTCGGTAATCCACTGTCGCACTGATTAAGCGATTATACTGAACCTCAGCGCGACGATTAGGACACCGAGCTATCCCCCGGCGAATTCCCGGGGGCGCTGATGCGTCGGGCTCTCGCGAAGGGTCGCCGTCGAGTCGATGACAGACGGCTGCCATGTGTTTCAGGGGAGTACTCGGAATCCGATCCTGCCGCGGTTGCTTGCCGGCTGTCTCGATGACGCGGCGTCCCTCTCGCGAGCTATTCTCAAGCGGTCGCCGCGCCGCCGATCGAAAAGTTCCTTTCCGCGGAGACTCGAGTCGAAATTCTCATCCCGCTGTTAACCTCAACATTTCATTTAAGTTTTCTGTTTATTTTGCCGACGGGTCCTTTTAAGAATGTATCTAAGGGCAAATTTTGTATTTCTGAGGCGCTGAGTAGGACTTTTATGCGCGTGTATTTATGTTCAAGAGTAAGAGACAGTTTCAATGTGAATGAAATATTTTCGTTGCTCCTCCCTTCCCCTCCCGCCCCCCCCCCCTCCGAAATCTATAGACAATTCAGGACAGTTCGGGAAATCGATTGTGTAGAACGAGGTGGAAATTACAAAAGTGAGTGACTCTATTCGAAAATTTACGATTTCATCAGCCAACACCCAGCAAATTTGTTCACTTTTCATCTCGTTTCAAGATACGAAAGTAGAGCTGGATCCACTTATTTTGATTGTATTCAAGCTTTAGCTTTAGCTTCGCCGAGAGTTTCCCTTGAGAACTTGCAAGCGGTAAATTGAGCGTTTTCTGCCACATAGAAACTTTAGTTCCTACGTAAATTCAAATCTTTCCCGGAATATCCACGAATGAAATAGACTGGTCGAAAACAGGGCCAGAATTTTGATAGGAGAGAACAAAGAGAGAGAGAGAGAGCGAGCGAGAGCGAGAGCGAGAGAGAGCGAGAGAGAGCGAGAGAGAGCGAGAGAGAGCGAGAGAGAGAGAGAGAGAGAGAGAGAGAGAGAGAGAGAGAGAGAGAGAGAGAGAGAGAGAGAGAGAGAGAGAGAGAGAGAGAGAGAGAGAGAGGAGAGAGAGAGAGAGAGAGAGAGAGAGAGAGAGAGAGAGAGAGAGAGAGAGAGAGAGAGAGAGAGAGAGAGAGAGAGAGAAAGAAGGAGAAAGGAAAATGTCGAAAGAAATACACTTATTCGGGCGCGATTAATCCGCTCGGATCGGGGGGAGCCGATTGAACGACAACAAACGCCACGACGATTACGCGGCACTCCGACGGCACGAGCGACGATTAGGAGGTCCGCAAACGCCATTTCCCGTGGAGATTCCCCCGGGATTGCGACACGGATTGCCGGGATTCGCGAGAGGACTCGCGTCGAGTTGAATCGAGTCGAGTCGAGTCGAGTCGAGTCGAGTCGAGTCGAGTCCAGTCGAGCCGGGCCGGGTCGATGACAGACGGATGCCATCTGTTTCAGGAAAGTGCTCGGTGTCCTGGTCGACTCACTTGCTGGTCGGCTCTGTGGCGTTGCTGATGCTGTGCTTCGGCCTGAGCTTCTGCGCGGCCCGACACAAGCCCTCCAACTCGCACACGGACCCCCTGCGCATTTGACAATCGAGATACTCCCAGTCGATTCACGCCTACGCCTCGCCCAAGACGACCACCCTCTCCATCGTCACGGTCTGTTGATCGTGCCTGGACGCCGTTGCTGCGTGTGGTGGCTGCGTGCGTATGCGTGAGTATGAGTCCGCGAGAGCGCGGCCGACCTTCTCCTCGTCGTCGTCGCCTGTCGTCCACGTCGCCCACCGTCGCCGTCGCGCAGCCGGACCAGCGGATTTCATACGCGCGTCATCGCGCGTCACACGAGCGAGCGACACGCCTGGTGGCAGCGGCGACGGGGCTGACAGTTGCGCGCAATCCCACGTGTCGAAAATGCCCTCGCGTCATTCTCGCGCTCACCCTGCGCGCCTTCTCCGCGGACGCGTGCCTGTGTTTTCGCGCGATTTTCCGCCGCACGGCTCTGGTTGACCGCGGCGAAGCGCGGACGCGCTTCTCGCGCGTCGCCGGCGCACAGTGGGACAAAACTGACATTTTTTGTTCACAACGGTCCAGAGACCTCAAAACTTAACGAAATGAAACAAATTCTTTCTAAATTACTCGTTGAAAGATAACGAAGAAGACTGTCTAAGCAGACTTTTGAAAAGAATCAACCCTATAATCCCATTAGAAAAATACACAACCCAATAACGAAAAACGACAACACATAAATCGGTAACTTTAACTCTAAAACCCCTTCGCCTAATAGCTCACAAGTAAACCGTCGGAACTGCCCGTCACCGATTTGGATCGGCTTTGGATATGTTGTAGAGCAAAAAATAATTAGGTCATATTTTTTTATCTGCGTATCTCGACGTTCGAGGGGTTGAAAACACCCCTCGAAAATAACGGATTTTTTCGTTTTTTGGGAATATGTTCTAAACTATGAGATGCATGAAAAAATGATTAGATGACAGTTTAATGGTATTTTATGCTTTATGTAATGGTATATTTAGATTTTCGAAAAATATCAAATTTGTTAATTTACCCCTCCTCCCTCCATTATAATTCTTGCCATTTTCAACATTTTTGTAAGGACAGAAATTAAAGAGCTTAAAGAGACAAATTCATCCATATGTAATAATATTATATTTGACCGATTACATTTTTAGAAAAATGCATTTGAAACTTCGTATTATAGGAGTTGCACTGCGTTACATTGCGCTGTAGGCTTACATATTATGTTATTTCTTTTCTGCAACATGATGTTTACACAAACAATAACTGCATTTTCTGCATATTGTAAACGAGCAAAAATTATTATTAATTACATCATACGCAACGTATTATATAACATTATATGGCATTTGATAAATTATGCTGCGTTTGAGTGGAAATGTATTTGGTGTCGCTATTGCATAAGTGAATCTTGGAATAAGAAATATATACAGATACACACACAGAAACATACTGAATATATATAGAACACACACGCAGTTGTTTAACAAGATTTAAAATGAGACTTGATATAACTCGTCGAGAGTGACATAAACATTACATATGTATAAATAATGCGTAGCGCATTTACGGTACATATTTATCGCAAAGATGATGTTCATGGAAAAAATGTGTTACACAAAGAGATTTCTTACACCAAGAACATATAATTATTGCAGTTTGGCCGCAAATGTCGCAATATATTTTTGTATTACTTTTGAAACAGAACTCGACAGGTGTTTGAAATTCTGTCGGTTTATTTTGCACATATCCACTTTTAAGCCAAGCGTATTTAAATAGATCTCGAAATCTAGGTGATGAGAACTGATTATGCGTTAATAATTGCAATTTAAGTATTATTTCTGGCATCAAGATCTGTTGCAAGATCTAACAACATAGCCATATCTGAAAAGTATTTAATAAAATTTTTCCACATTCGAAATCCGTACACATCAAATGGCTGTATTTTTCTCGTTGTGCCAGCCGGAATAGTTAGTAAAACAATATCTGTTGCAAATTCTAATCTAGTTTCTGCAATAATATTAGGACACTGACCAGTTCGTGAGTCTAGTAGTAAATCTAATTTCGCTCCAACATTTGGAAAATATACATCTTTTAACCAAGTTTTTACATGTTGCGATGTTAATTTGCCTGATTTTGAAGTCATAATATAAATATTAGGTGCTTTAAATATATTTTTCTGCACTCTTGGACCAAATACCTCCACCATCTTCTTTTAAGGGGGGAACCTAGTTTAAGAGGCTAGAAAAAGGAGATTTTTATGAATTTTTTTTATTGACAATGATGCAGTTGAGGTTCCTAAAACTTTTATAATATTTAACTGCCTATTTGAACATGTAAAAAAGATTTTTATATTGTAAAATAATTGCAAAATGGCGCCATGGTGTATCTCTAATCAGAGCGCCTCGCCAACCGAGTTGCCAATCTGCGGGAAAAATGTAGTCTGCAATTTTGATCTGAAAAAACCAAAAAGATTATTAATTTTCATGTATTTTTATTCTATTTGAACCAACAACATGGTTAAAAAACCGTAAAATACAAAAGTTTTTAGCACTTGAACAAAAAAATTTTTTTATGCGTTTTTATGCAATAACAATTATTTAAATTAATGTTTTTACCAATGTTTGAGGTTCACATAGAATGGTTGTTCATTCTCTAGCTAACGCACTTTGAATCAAGTCGATTGATCAATTAGTTTTTTCTCTATCTTTCCTGCAGATTTTAAGAAAGTACGAAAATGATACTTCGAGAAAAACGCGTTTAAAGTTTGTGGTACAAAAAAATATCATTTATTGGAGACTTACCGCAATCTTATGCTAATCAGCTATACCAGGGCCATACTGCAAGCCTTCAGCTTCTTCATAAAACTCGTTTCGTTGCATTTGCTCCAGTCTACGAGCTGTGCGAGCTTCCTTGGTCGTGTTGCTTCGGCGCCGCTTCCCTCTCGTAACTCGCTGCGCATCGTAATTATCAGCGAACATTTTGCATTGCTGGCCGATATTGATTTCTAATAACTGCATTGTTAATAAAATGGCAGTGTAGCCTTCATTAAAGATGCCAGTAGCCAAATATGCAGCGATTTGAACAATTTTAAAGCCCGAATTGAGGTGGTTCGGGAGCGATACGCCACACAGTCGAATTGAAGGATTCGTTGGAATTTTGTGTGTGCCCGCCTAAACATCTAGTCAAAAGATCCTCATTGGAAAGATCTTCATAGATCGAAGTAAGGTGTTTCTCAATATCAGGCTTTATAACTGGAGTAGGATGTTTACGAGTTGACCGGCGGCTTCAGCTTTGCGCCACTCGCACCAACTGTCGGCGCCTGCGGGGCAATTTCCATGTTTCGGCTTTTCATCGGTCGAGCAATAATAGTAGAGTGTTGCCATTATGCTTTTTTTCATATCACCCACAGAATCTACATTTCGTCTTATGGCTAAACCGTAGTAAGTGGTTAATTTTTTTATGACGAGATCGGTCAATCTCCCCTTGCCGCCAAGCTTCTCCTTTTTTTTATATTTCGAAGCCACGTCCCCATCCGCTTCTGAACGTGTCCAACGCACTCACTTTTTTTTACGGGGCAATCTTTGCCATACGGATTCAAAGTCAAAATGGACTTATAAGTTTTTTTTTTTCTATGATTCTATAATAATGTAATGGATTCACGATAATATTATCAGTACTCGCTGTACTTAATTTTTTCGCACTGATGCTCTCGTCTAAATGATCACTTTCATTCTTGGAATGCTGGTTGCCACGAAATCTTCTTTTCGGCGGTTTCGAAATGCGCTGCGAAGTACTTCTTGAGCCTTTTCGATACATATTTAAAACTGTCAAACGACTTTTGCTAAATAGAAACTCTTTACTCGTCGAGAATCAGAGCAAGACTGATCGTTGAAACTATAAACTATACACACGTACACACACATAGACACGCATACACTCATACACCTACGTGACAATCTATAGGAATGTGTAATCAAGTATCATGTCGGCATATAGCACGTATCTGTACCGGCCGAGCGCTCGTATACTTGCGCGACGCTGACTCACCATGTATTCTATAACATTTAAAATACTCTGAATTGGGCTCTGAAACTTTGGGAATATATTCTTGAATAGTTTAACTATCGATTAAGCAAAAAAAAAAAATTCGAAAATCTTGACCCTATAAACCAGGTTCCCCCCTTAATACTATGAAAAGAGACGACAATAATCTACCATCAGCGGTGATGGTCGGCTGTATAGTGCAACTATGCGTGGTTGATGATATTGACTGTACTACAGTTTGTATCTTCTTTGTACTTTTGCGCGCTAGAGTACGGCATGAAATTCTAATTGGAATCCGCTTTGATCTGAATTATAAATATTTTCGAGTCCATATTGACCGATGTAATATTTTACATTTTTAATGAATGTTACGCATTCATTTTTCTAGATCTGTTTCTGATAACATAGACTTTTTAGTAACAAATTTTGTTATTTTTCGTGATATAATATTATGCATAAGTTTAAATCTTCTCACTCATGTCTCTGAAGCTGTGAATCCTGGTGCATTTTCTTCTTCTTGTGCTCGGGCAGCCCATCGTGCGATATCAATGTCGTGAATAATTATTCCTTTCTCAAGTGCTTCATTGAAACAATTTATTATGTAATCAGAAATTCGTCTTAATTTTTCACTTCTAGTGATTCACCTTGATTGATTTATTTTTCCCATCGTAATTGTATTGATGTAACTTTCCGAAATCTTTGTCCTTCTAATGATCTCCGTCTCGTTTTACCGCTCTTCCAGTGTACTTCCCACGGCACTCCTTTTACATTCAATTGATAATGCTTCTGTAGAACATAATACTTCTTCCGGTAAATACTCTTTTCTTCATGACTCTGAAGTAAATCAACTGCTTCAGCTTCGAAGGTCTCATATGAATCATAAAAATCTAGAGATATTTCTTCTTCTGTTTCTAATACTTTTTCGTTACTTATTTCTTGTAACATGTGTTCAATTTTCTCTTTTACTTCCCGTTCCTCCAAAGTTATCGGACTCTGAGGAATATTTAATGCAGTAAAAGTTACATACAGTAACATTACTACATTTAATGGATTAAATGGCGTCATTCTAAAAAAGATTACTAATTAAATATCTGTTCCAAACTATGATTATGTAAAACATATTGCGTACTTTATATTTAATGAAGCAATCTCTTTATGTTAGTTATACGATACTCCTTTCTTTCTTGATAGAAAATGTGATTTGAGTCCAAAATAAACCACTGCATCGTGAGAAAGTAATTAATAATTCAAAGTCTCGCTAATATAGACACAGGAAGCAGTCTTACAAAATTCGTAATGAAAAAACTATCCTAAAATATGAAGCATGAAAATTCAAATATTACATAGGCTGAAAAGAATTGTAGAAATTTGCTTAAGTTTATTAGAATGTAAATAACTTTGTTGAATTGTTGAATTAATATTGATGCGTTACGTGTTGGATTATTTTATGTGATTATTTTATATGACATGCACACCACAGCACAAAAACTGTATATATAAAACTGCACAATAAAACAATTATTTGCTAATTTATAAAATTAGAATAAAAAGCAATTTAAAATTATTGTAAAATATTTACACGTTTACGAAATCACATTACCAATAGATATAGTGTTACGTGACGGACACGCTCGCGATGGATGAGCGGTTCGGATAATGTCGAGGTTACGTTTTGAACTGATAATATTCCACGGATCACGGATGTGGAATATTATCAGTTCAAAATTAAATTCAATATTATATATACTTCTTGCTGTTCACGGCTCCATTATGTTGCACACGATACTACTGTTTGTTTCACAATTCTATATCAATATGCGAGTGTTATTTTTATTCTCAATTGTGTATCCAAATCAGACCACTTGGCAATACTTCGTGAAACTTTGCCAGCAATCGTTATGTAATAGCAGAATATCTCCTTTTAACCATTTTTAACTTCAGTCTCAACTTCTCTTACATTTATGTCTCAATATATTTATGCTAACAAAAGTAGAATTAACAGAAGATATTGCTATTTATTAAATATACTATATGAGAATTCAGTCAGTCTCGACGAGTTATATATCGAGTCTCATTTTAAATCTCG